ATTACTTGCTTAAATTATATATGCATTCTTAGGAATTAACAATCTACCCCAAAATCTTGTACATGAATAGGGAAAAAATAAGTCACACCTAGTACATATGTCATTATTATTTTATTCTATAGCTTAGGAAACTGAGGCTCAGGGAGGCAACGTGATTGGCTGATAAATTTGAAGCCTGTTTTAGTCAGGTTTATATCACTGGGACAAATAACTATGAAAAACAGCTTAAAGGAGAAAAGATTTATTTTGGCCTATGGCTTCAGAAGTTTTAGTCCATGATCAGATGGTTCCAATACTGTAGTTCTGTGATGAGCCAAAACATCCTGCCAGAGGGGATGAGGGAATCGCTTTATTGCATGGCATCGAGGAAGCAGAGAGCTGGAAAGAGCCAAAATGGAGCTGGGCAGCAGATATTGTTCCTCAGGTCATGGCCCCAGTATCCACTGCCTCTACTGGGCGCAATTCCTGTTCTCTGTGTTTCCATTGTGCCATCAAACTGTGATCTCATCAGTGGATTAATCCACGGATGGAATTAGAGCCCTCATAGTCTAGTCAGTTCCTCAAGGCCCATAAATTGGCAACCAGGCCTTCAACACAATGAGTCTTTTGGGGGATATCCTAGATATTAACTAAAACTGCAGAGGAAATCAGGTTAGCTTTTGGTTCTTTGTGTGTATGTGTATATCCATGTTTGTTTCGAATATAGAATAATACTCATTTTAATTCTGGTGTACATTAAGAATATGAATATACTAAAAACAGTAAAAAAGTTGTCCTTAAAATATATACATGCATTTATCTTTGGGATGAACTTAGTGATTTTGTTATTATTTTCATCAATTTTGGGTCTTTTGAAAAAAAATATGTGAATTTTGTGGGCAGGTAAGGGAATCTGAATAGACTATTTCTTTATTTAAAATTACTTTTTATTGCACAAATAATACTCAAGTAACTTTTTCTTATAAAAATCAAATCTTGCAAATACAGTTAAAATCTCATTGTTCAATACTCCATATGCCCTACACTCCACCCATCTCAGGCACCTTCTTCTCTCAGAAGTGGCCACTGATAGCTAGCTGAGCATGTGCCTTGGGACAGTTTTCAGTGTATACAATTCAAATACAAGGGTTGATCAAAATATACAGTAATATGCTTAAAATTCTACTACAGTAAGAGATACATTGCCATTAATCTTCCCTCAAAATACCCTGACTTCAAACAGTTATCCTATCCCTCTTGCCACTTTCTAATGCAATTATAGAAGTTCTCTCTCAGCTCTTCATGAAATGTGATTAAAAATATATGTGTGGCATCTTTCACAACTACGTTGCAACACCCACAAAGAGTGTTTCTGGACTACAGAGCACAAAATGAAGGCCAGGGATTGGGTTGAAGCAGTGGCTTAGTGGTGACATTGTTGTGAAAGTCATCTAATATTCCAGCTTCTCAGAACAATCAGTGGCACAGGATAATGAATGAGTTCGTGTTGAATGTCACTAACCTTTTAGGCTCACAGAAACTTCAATTGGTGACAGCAGAAGAGTGCATCACAAAAAGACTGACTGTTCTGCAGCCCTTCATTAATGTTAAATATTGATTGGAAAAAAATAAAAACAAAAGAAAACAAACATGACCTGACCCCCCTGAACATGTTGCTCCTGAACATCTTGTATTCAGTAACCCTAAGACCCCTCAGCATGCGGATACTATGCTCAGACGCTTCTGAGTCAGGCCCCTCTGGAGCAAGCCCATGCCAGCCATTCCACCCAGGGGCCTCCTGCATGCTGATGTTCGGTGTGGAGGAACTCATTCTCACCAACATTCCCTGTCCTAGCAGACTTTGCAAGAGACCTTCTGTGTATTTGCAGCATTTTTTTTTTTTTTTTTACATAGGTCAGAATTTTAGTCCTTCAGCTTCAGTGGAGTTTTGTTATAGAGAATTAATGAGAGAGTTACCCGAGCAAACCACCTCACCTGAAATCACAAAGTCTCTTATGAGACGTGTCCTGGGAGGAGAAGGCAACTGAGAGAGATTCCCTTCACCATTGAAATCAATCTGCAGAAAATCAGTCCCGGTCTTACCTGTGCAGCCCTCGTACTATGTCTTCTTCCAGTCCCAACATAGTCTCCCCATTTCTAGAACTCTCTTTGAGCGTTATTTTCAAGAAAAATACTTTATAGATGGATACTCATGCTAACTAGTGGACGTGATCTTGAAACTTCCATGATGACTCACCTAAAGATCAAAGTATCATGTGCTATGCGCTCCCTAGTTGTCAGTGTTGTGAAGGTAAAAATGTACCAGTTGCATTAGCGCCAGAGAATGGATGGGTGTGCTGCAAATGGGGCAAAGTGTTCCCTGCTATCACAGTAGACTGAATCTATCCAGCTCTCTTAGCATATTAGTGTTTCTCAGAACATTGGCCTAAAATGCTTTATGTATAAACCACATTGCTGGGTTTCTTTTGGGTAAAGACTGCAATTTCTTCTTCCTGACCAGACCCCTCTCGCCAAGAAGTTGCTCTCCTGCGCAGCTCAGCATGAGTTGGGGCAGTGGATAACCTACTGGTCATTTTTCAGTTTTGACTCAGTACAATGTTTTGTAGACCATTCTTGTCCTGGAAACACATGATATGTCTGTAGAAAGAAGTAAAGCACTGTTCAGTTAGAAAACTGAATATATATATATACACTTGTGTATTATCTTATCCATTAATCACAGATCATAAACAAAAATTAAGCCAAAATCAAGAACCATACTAACTATAGTATTAAACATGAAAATTCCAATTATAAAATTTCTGGAATGAATATGGAAAATTCTTTATGATTTGGGGACATATATATATATATATACACACATACATATACATGTTACTGGTGCCGACTGCTATCTAATGGAAAAGAGAGCTTGTAAAAGCATTACACTGTCTCCTTTCCACTTTATTCTTCAGATCTGGCACCACGCAACTTCTGGCTCTTGAAAATGTCATGAGAGGTAAATATTTTGAATCCATTCAGGACATTGAGGTAGCCAGGATAGAGCAACTAAAGACATGAAAAAGAACTTTGATAATTGCTTCAGCAGTGGCAAGAATGATGGAATAAGTGTGTTGGAAGTAAGGGGGAGTATTTGAAGAGCAATTAATGTCAATGTATCTTTTCTCAAATAATTTTTTAAAACTTAAACACATTGTTTTTGTTGATCACACCATCCATGGAATCTTATAATAACTCATGTTAGCGGCAATCAGTTATCGTTTAAAATGTAATACTTTGGGGAATTATTTTATTCATGGGTTCAAAATAAAGGACTAGGGGAGGATATCTAAGTCAGAAGCTAACAGAGTTAAGATTCAAAATTATATATCAACTCTGCAGAATAATACCCTAAAGACAGAAAGATAAAAACTTAGCCTGCATAAATATTAAAGCCCTGCAAAAAATACAGAAAACAAATGGAGAAATCTGGCTTAGCATTAGTTTATAGGAAAAAGACCTAGTGGTTTGATTATCACAGATTCAATGTGTGATAAAAATTCTAGTTCTTTGAAAAGTCAATAACTTTTATCTCTAAACTGAGATTCCTTTAAAACATAAGGAATTACTCCAGAGTATCTTATTTTTGAAGAAAAAAAATAAATAAATTATGTAAAACAGTGAGATAGTAGTTATAAAATGCAGGACTTTTTGAGGCAATGTATTCTTCACGCATTTTTTTTTCTTTTTCATTAAAAAGGTAAAAGAAAGCTAGGTAAAAATAAAAATCTTGCTTCCTTTTGGTCCTATCCTTGAATCTTTCTTCTAAAACATGCATTACAGATTATGAAATTATAGCATACAAACCTGCTATGATGCAGTGATATTCTCTTCATTTCTGTGTTTCCTTCATTAAGGATCTTGCCCTGTGGAATTACTGTCACTTGATGTAAAGCTAATTATCTAATGGGATGACTTATATTTTAGTGAGGAAAATTTACACTCAACATTCTTTGACTACATGTCTGGGATTAGGTACGGAGAAAGTCCAAACATTCTCTGGATAAAACTTGTGTTTTCCTATGCTCCATCTCTGTTCTATACCAAGAGATTATAACTTAACTGTCCAGCAGATACAGATGTTTGTTTAAAAAAATATCCAAACATAGAATTTCTTCATCTATTGAATACTTATAAATCCCTTTATAGGATTGTAGATATTTTTTCTTTCTTTCTCCTTCCTTTCTTTATTTTTTATTTTAGATATATTTTAAAGACTTTATGGGGTACAATAAAGATGAATTGCAAAAATGACTGATCTGATGTTTTTCTAACAAATATGGATATTATATTTATTTATGATGACCGTGAGTAATCATAAAACCTATTATACATTTTGACCTCTATTTTTTAAAAAATTAAAGTAATATATCATACAAGCATGGTCTATTTCAGAACATGGCACCTTTGTGACAAGAAAGAAGCTGAATCCATGGAGCAAATGTATCTATGGATTTTTCAGAACACCAAATAGTTGTCTTATTTCAATGTATCTATCTTTACCCAGATGTGTATCGCTACACGTGAGAAGGAGACTCAAGGTCTTAAGTCTATTACTGGTTTTATTCAGCAATGTCAGACCAATAATAGGTATTTATCTATTAGCTTCTGCTGCTACAGATAGAGTAGCTTATTGTAATTCTCCCCTCCAGTTTTCCTTCCCCAAAGAAATAGCTATATCTTGAATCTGTCTAATTAGCCAGTACGTGAAGAACAAAAAATTGAGATAGTCCCTATGCTCATAGTTTCTGGCTTTTAAAAAACTCAATAAAATTTTGATGTACATTTCCTTGTTTACATGGTGGAGCAAAATGGATCAAACAAGCAAAGATTTGTGACAACAGAGATTGTGCCTTTGTACAATATAACACATACTGTGCATCAAAGAAATATTGTGCCACTTCTCTGAAGCTGACATTGGAATGACATTGTAATCCTGGCCATCTGTCTTCCTCCTCTAGATGTCGATGAATGTACGGTGGTGAGCGGAGGCTGCCAGCAGCGCTGTATTAACACTCTGGGCACTTTCCACTGTGAATGTGATACAGGATACAGACTCCATGCTGACGAACGCACCTGCATAAGTGAGTAAATATTAGAACCAGCTTGAAGCCATTTTCAATGAAAATCGACCTGTCTGCGTAGGGGCCAAAAGGAAAGGTTTTTCTATTGTAAAAAATATCTGTAGAAGCTGATGGTTTTCAAATGTAATTTTGTCTTGGAAAAATAAAATTGTATTTCATTATTAAAAGACTAAAAGAGAAATGAGGAAGGAAATAACTGAAATTAACATTCTCAAACAAAGCCTGAATCCCCAAATGTGTTTGTCCATACCATATAATTTCTGTCACATTCGATGACATATGAATTTGTTAGTTATTACTTTTATACAAGGGCAGCACAAAGCCACAATTAGCTAATGATGCTGGACCATTATAATTACTGGCCACAATGTTCTCATTTTAGATCAGACTTAGAACCAGATCAGAACCAGATTCATAATCAAAATTGAATTCTAAGCAAAATTATAATAGATTATCTGACAAAGAGCTTAGAGTTGCCCAGGCATACTTAACACTGCACACATGAAGTCTAGATTACATGTTTGTTTGCATCAAAATATTCTGATATATAAATCTTGAGGGATTAGATTATTGTTTTGTTATGTTTTTATATATTTCTGAATTTTACAGTTTTTCTAAAATGAGCATATTCTGCTTTTATGAACACAATGAAAGGAATAAACTTTAAAATTAACCTTCCCTTTATGATTTATGAATGCTCCTTGCTGTTTTACTGAAGTGATTTATGTAAGTTTATTGAGTCATGATTCTCAGACGGCACAAACTTGCATTGCGGTTTTATCTTCAGGTCCATTCTCAAAATAATGATACTAAAAACAGCATCTTGTATAGCATATTTTTATTCTGCTTTCCTTTGTAGGTTAACTAGTCCATCTACACAAAATTATTAGTATCTTACAAATTATTCTATAAGTATGAAACTTGAAATTGAAATCAACGAGTTTCACCTAGTTTCATGACATACACTCTCTTCTTTGTCTTAGTATATGTTACAGGAAATGAGGGAAGGCCAATGCAAATAAGTAAAGGTTTATGATTTTGATATTAAAAAAATGGGTTATAAAACTGTGATAGCAACAAAGAAAAGACTTTTCCAAAGTCAAGATAGGGTCCAGTTGGACGTCAGACCCTAAGATGTAGGGAACCCAATAATTTAATCATTGCATCTAGCAAGCATAAATTATAGAACAGCAGTGCATGCATTTTTATTTAATATGAAATATCCCTTTTTTGAAAGATGAATTGTCTCAGCAACAAGATTCCCTTTTCCACCCCCAATCCCAGTCTCTTCAGGATCTCCTATTACATTTTTGCACTGCCACTATAACTTCTCTGAATCACAAAATACTTAGGAGCAGCAGGATTATTGATGCAGATGCAGAATTTATCAATAAAGGCTAAGATGGTGAATTTTTGAATCTGATATAAATATTTTGCAAAATAGTGATTTGTGTGAATCAGTGATATTTGGTCTTGGTGATAAGGAATCTAGTCTTAAACTTAGTTCTGTTTACAGTTATAATTTATTTTTAAGACATGATATTTATAAGCTATTTCTTAGTAAAAATCATTAAACTCTTCCCTTGTTCTTTTCTATCACTGCTCTCAAATTTTCCAATATTTGTTTTAATGACATTAGGTCAAAAATGGAGTTGGATAAAAACATTCTATTTTATCTTTTTTAAGTTTTTATTTCTCAAAAACCAATTGTTTTGTACATGGACATGGACACTATAATAATCACTATTTGCAATTCCCTATACTGACTTTTTATACAGGATTTCAGTGCAGTGTATAAATATATATATGTATATGTATATGAATGAATTAAGCTAATGAGAAACATGAATTTCATCACTGCACTCATTTCAAAGCATCTAACTCCTTGGCTACTATTGTGCAGAAAGTTTGGGATTCATCCCAGAACTTGATCTTCACGCAAATTTTAGTGACTTCCTCACATGCATATAATGAAGTTTGGGGTTCAAATATACTCTCAAGAAACTCGGTTGACACAGTTTATAAACATGTCCATTTTGCTAGAAGGAGTCCAAGAAAGATTTTAGCCCTTTGTATTTAAAGTTTGATAGTAAGACCTTGAGGAAAACATCTCTTTGCTTATTCATTGTGAAAAAAGGGCTTTATTGAGGAGAACTGAGTTTTACATTAGAGTATTTGGGGTTAGCCTGTATGAAAGATCACTTATATTAATACAAGAAAATGCATTGGCTCACTTCGTCTTTGGGACTTTTACATGGCTAAAGACTGAGAATGATGGTTGATGCTTCAGGGGAGGTTGTAGTAGATATAGAGGTTGTAGTCTATATAGAGCAGTGGAAAAGAAGATGGAGCTATGGAGATTTATGAATTTACTATTTTGGAGTACTTAAAATTCATTCTCTTCATTTCTTTCTTCTTTTCCCCCGTGTTTTTATTCCTTTTCTCCATTCTGCTCATCAGTCTCAGGCCTGAGCTGCTGTGACTTCCTCAGTAGAGCCTCTTGCATTTTTTTCACTTTCTCTCAATCAAAGGTATAGTAAAATAAACTCCTGGACCTCCAAAAGCTTACAGTGTTTCAGAATACTTTATTTCAAAAGAAGGTCACCAGTTGTACTCTTGTGGTGACACATTTGTAGTGGTTACTAGTCGGCTTCTGTCAGAATGATAAAGTCACACGAAGTGGTAGAAGAGAGTTGTAGCAGCTTGCTAAAGTAGTAGGAAGTTCAGTATGAGGACCACTTGACTCTGGGTAGAGGATTTTTTGAATTGTTGTTATGATGAGATTCTAGTAAAACTGGGAACCATTGCCTACTGGGCTCAGTGTGAACCCATGAATTTGTCTGCAGTTTTGGAATCCATGTCATTTTTCTGCAAGTAAGGACATGTCATTTTTCTCAGATTCTTAAAGATGTCTGTGGCATGCAAAAAACCCATATATCTTTTTTTTCCTTCTGTGGTCTTTAAAATGTATTACCTGGGAAAGTATCATGATAATTTTATATCATGGTATAACATTATGATACTGCTATGCTGGTCAGTGACTACTTCTCTCTACTGCCTCTTTTCAGTGAGATTCCAGGCAAGCGGCACCAGCCCCTGTTCTTGAGAACACTCTCCTGAAAAGTAGTAACAGAAAAACCAGTCTGAGATGTCCCATGGGTTAGCAGCAGGAGAGCAAAGGGAAGCTACTGCGGTTGGTTGGTGGAGGGGTACACAGGAACCATAAGGAAGAAGATAGAAGCGGAATTCTAGGGATATTGTATTTTCCATTAACACAAATATTACCAACTTGGAGAATAACAACTTTAAAAATGAAAATTGGATTTCAGCAATCATCAGAAAGGCATGGATCTTTACATTTATATTAGTTTTCTGATTAAAGCTCATCTCTGTGGATTAGAGACAATGGCGCAGGGGAATCCAAGTTGGCATGTGCCCTACAGCAAGTCGTCAAATCTCTCCACACCCTGTTCTTTTTATGTGTAAATTGGAGAATTTAGGCAGAGTGGTTTTAAAATTACTTCAACTCTAAAATGTTATAATTGTATAGAATTTTCAAAATAGCTAATTCACTACAAATCATCCACTAACTGAGCCTCTACTTCATACAGGCCTAATTTTAGTCAAAGTATATTTCAACAATTTAGGATTTAGGAAGTCCAAGCATAAAACCAGAATGGGAGAATTTTGTGAGCTAGTATAATAAAAGCAAGTGGGTAGTTTAAATATTTTATTGAAAGAAAAATACTGCAATGCTCTATGACAATATTCTCTTCTATCTCATAGAATCATATCTAAAAAAAAATCAGAAAATTATATAGCCCAATTTCTCAACTTCAAGAGAAATCCCAAAGAGATCAAGGAATTTCCAATGTAAGAAGGATAGTTTTTTAGGAAAATCTTACCTAGTCTTATTCCTAATTCAGTGCCTTCAAATAATTTCTGATAAATGCTTTTAAATGGACTAATGAATATCATAAAAAGCACTGCTAACTAAAATTCTTACATTTAATTTTAGTAAACAGAGCTAAGGATTAAAATGGTGTTTTTTCACAATAATTAATAATAGAAATTAATTATATATCATGAAATTGTAAGTATATAACCATTTCTCTCTCTCCCACAGTTCTATGACTTACTCTAAAAGATCTCGATACTTTCAATTCTCTAAGTGAGCTACATTCTTTCCTACTTTTATGTCTTACTTTACTCTTAACGTGGAATGCATACAACCCCCAAGTTTCTATCAAAACCCTATTTCGCATTTTCTGTGTCAAATGCCTTCTGCCCTGTTAAGTTTTATCTGATTATTCAAGGCAAAGCTATTCTCTTTCTCTCTCTTTTTTTTCTTTGAAATACCACATTATTTCTGTTGCTTTATTGGCACATCATATACACGTGTGTGCGTGTGCGCGTGTGTGTGTATGTGTGTGTGTGTGCAACTGAACTCCTGACCAAAGGAACTCATTGATTACCTAGTGAGCAACACCGAGATGAGTCCTTAACATTCCCTTATTGATGGCCTTAAAACACTCAAACATTATTTTTAAAAAATCTTCCCCTTAACTTCATAACAGCACTATTTTTACTTTTAACTGCTGATTTTCTTTACTTTTATTCTGGTTACCAGGGTTCTGATGTGCATCTTCATCTCCTTTTCTTTTCTATTCTTCCTTTTTTTGCTTCTTCTCTACTCTATCTCCACTTTGCTCTGCTTTTACATGTAAGTGAAATCCTGTCGAACTTCCAATTTTACCTTGCACACTGTAAGAAGTACTTAAATATTTTAAAACAGAATATTACAAGGCATAAAGACTTCATCCACATGGATTTACTTCTCAGAGAAAATCTCAGGCTTGTTCCACTATTTCCAGCTTTTGAAACCTTGCCAACGGTCTATTAAAAATAAACCATTGCTTGATAGTTTTTAATGATTTCCCCATTGTTGGGAGACAAATATTAATAGTTATCACTAAATATGGAGATAATGTAGACCAATT